CCAAATCTTACCATAGTAATAAGTGGTTGTTGTCATTTTTCTATGTGTTATCATTTGTGCATTCTAAAGCCCCAATTTTGTAAACTTTTCATTGTTACATCTTTCTAAAATTGTTTTCATTCCCTTTGTTAGCCTTTTGCAAACCATTTTCTGTGTCTTCTTGGCTTATTGGATAGACCTGTGTGTGAGTCAAAAATCTGAAGTGTTTTCTCTCTGTCTGTCTCTCTCTCTCTTCCTCCTTCCCTCTCTCCCTCTTCTTCCTCCTCTTTCTCTTCCTTCCCCCCACCCCATCTCCTCCCTCCACCCTCCTATCTCTGTTTTCCAGACAGAGTTTGTCTGTGTAGCCCTGACTGGCTGTTCTGGAACTTTACTCTGTAGACCAGGCTGGCTTCAAACTCAGAGATTTGTCTGCTTCTGTCTCCGAAGTGTTGGGATTAAATGCATGCATCACCACCCATCTTAAGTTTTCTTGCACTTGCATAACCTTTAAACAAGGAAAAGTCTTCAGACTTTTTGTTTGTTTTGATCAGTTCATTGATTGTAGCACTTTGTCAGTTACTGTGATGGTAACTGACACAACAGTTGTTTTCAAGGCCTGGAATCACCATGGAGTTGCCTTTGGAGCATAAGTCATTTCAGAATCAGAGCTAAAAAACTGCTTCCAGAATGTTCCTTTGAAATAAATGTTGTTTGAGTTCTGAGCCTATTGCACTGTCCTAGGTCCTGCCAGGTGCTAGCTGCTGCCACACCTTCATGTGCACCTGTTGTGACTTGCAGTGCTGTGTCTGGGAGACAGGTAGGCTGTCCCCAAGCAGAGGGATTGCAGTGTGCCTCTAGTATTTGACCAGCCTCCTTTGTTCCTTTATCTCCTGACCTGCCTGTCCTCTGTAGCCCTCATAGAGCCCTGCCCCCTCACCTCTACTCTGGAGGAGGCTCCAGGGAACATCAGGTGCCCACTGCATTTGCACCCACTGTGCCAAAGGAAGGGCCTCTTGCCCAAGAAGCATGCTGTTAGCGACTCTCATTTGGGGGGTGCTTTGATGAAGTCGGTAAATATATCCATTGTTGGCTTGTCATCCTTTCTAGAAAGGTCTTAGAGATCCTAAATTCTACAACAGTAATGAGTGGTAGCTGTCATTTTCGTAAGTTGATTCTCTCAGGTACTTGTTCTAGTCACAGAAAGCTGGCTGACATGGACAGTATTCTGAGCACATACACTCGTTTTGCCTTTCAAATTGACATGGAACACAGCTAAAGAAAAATAGAAATTTAAGAAGCCAGACTGAGGAGATGGCCTAGTAAACAACATATTTGCTCTACAAGCCAGGAGGGCCTGAGTTCAGATCTCCATTCCCCATGTAAAAGCTGTTGTGAAGGTGCATGCATGGGGTCCTGCCACTGGAAGGAAGAGACAAGAAGATCCCCATGGCTTGTTGACCGGCTGACTTGTGAGCCTCTAGTTTAGTGAGGAAGCCTAGCTCAAAAAAAAGGCAGGAGAGGGATGAAGAGAACAATGGAAAACTGGGAAGACAGTGGATGTCAGCAAGCCTGTGGCCTACATATCTGCATGTACTTGCACACATACATGAACACACACACACACACACACACACACAATCTGTATCTGATCCAGGTATTAGGAAAGGGCTTGTCCATATGGTAAAATGACCAGACCAGCTCAGTCAGTCAACAGGTTCTCCAGGGCAGGAGTGAGGATTAAAAAGAAAAAAGACGATTAGACAACATTGTAGTATGACCCAGCCAGTTTGAGAGTAAAGGCGGGTTTATTTTTTCCCAATTTGCGTTTATACCCTTTTAATCACATGCAAGTATTTAGGTCAGTTCTAGGTTGAGGAACTTCCAATACAGTAAATACAAATAGTCAAGGAACAAGCAAGGCAATAAGCAAAGTCCCATGATCACTCCCATGACCACTGTTTCTAAGGGCTTATCAGGATGACAAAAATATCTGAGCCTACTTCCCTGACTTAGCCCAGTCATATTTATGCCTGAGGCCTACTTTTTTGTTTTAGCCTAAGACTTAGATTCCTGACTGAAATTACTTCTCTGTTTTGGCCTGAAATTAAATTCCTACCTGAACTTACTTCCTTGCCATGGCCTAATGTCAGATTCCTGCCTGAAGCCTGTTTCCTTGTCCTTGGCTAATGTCAGATTCCTGCCAAGCAGCCCTAAAAGCTCTCCACAGTAAAACTTCTGTAAGCCCCTGATGAGACTAGACTGAAGGACATGCTATAGGCGATACCGTCTCCTTCTCTAGCATGTACCCCATGGAGGCAGTGGTTCCACCCCATTCCTTTCCTGTAGCATCTCATGTAACTTTCAGGAGTGCACCTCATCTTCATGATTCTAATCTCCAAGTCTTTGTATCTCCCGTGCTTTCCCTTAAGCTGTGACAGCCTGATGTTTTCCACACACACCTTCTCAGGACACACACTGCTTGTGACTTCTGTCCCTTTTTGCCCTGAGCTGCTGTCTCCCAGTGTCCCTTCTGAGCTCCCGTTTTGTGCCTTGTCTACTTTCCATACGTTTTCTCTCATGCCCTGCGGTTTCTCAAAAGCAGCACATTTCCTGATGCACAGCTCCATCGCTGGTGCTCTGCTGTGCTCTTCTGTGGTCTCCTCCATGCTGCCTGCGTGTAAGCACTCTCCTTCTTCTTCCTTGCCGTCTTCTTCCCAGCTCTCCTGCCACAGCATTCTGACAGTTCTCTAATCCAAATCAAGGTTGTCATCCCGCACAACCCTTTTGTGTTCCAATTGCTGGCTCTCCCTGTGCTCATTCACGGGTGATCAATGCAGTCACTTTGTAGATTGTTTCTCTGTCCCTGCATGGCCTGGAACTGAACTTTACCAGTGAATCTCCTTCCTGCATAGACTCCCAGGGACGCTCAGCTGGCTACCAAATGACAAAGTCCAGTCTGACAGCCATCACCTTTCCTCCTGTGCCATCAGTACATACTTCTCTAGTCCTGCCATGATGACAGCACTGAAGAGAGAGCAGGGAAGGAACTGTGCCCACGAGACTCCTCTCTTCATGGAGCTTACAGTTCTGTGAGGAGTCAGTGTGTGGTGAGTGCCAGTAGGAAATATAAAGGATGATCTCGGGAGGGAGGGAGCTTCTGGACTGGCCTACTTTCCATGAGATGGCCAGAGATGTTCTCCTTAAGAAGGACTTCTTAAATGAAGCCCAAAGAAAGAGAAGGAGTTAGCTCAAAGAGGCAGAGAGCAAGGAGCCTGAAGCACATAGCTCCACGTGACTGGGCAGTAGTGAGCCAGCTGAGGAGCAGTGGCTGCACTTTAGTAGGGCCAAGCAGTGTTAGAGCGCTGTTGCAGGTAGTTTCACTTTCGTTGGAGGTGAGATGCTGTGATCTGTTTCCAGTTCATTCCAGAGAGAAGCACTGTGGGATCAAGAGACTAGTCTGGGCAGAAGCTTCAGAGACCAGTCAGGGAGGAGTGGTAGTGATGGATTGGACTAGGTCAAGATGTTAAGAGTTTCTGGGTTAGAGTAGGCAGAAAGTTTGTTGTGTGCTCAATGAAAGATAGGCAGAAGAACAATAGCCTTTGCCCTCCAGAAAATAGCATCTTCTCTTTCTTCAGTTATGGCAACCAAAACTAGCTCCAGGCCTGGGAAGGTAGTTCATTCAGCAAGTGGGAGGACCCAAATTTTACTTCCAGAATCTAAAAATAAGAAACATCCTGACATGGTGGACATTTATAATCTGAGTACTAGAGCAGCAGAGACTAGAGGGTCCCTAGAGCCTCATGGACCAGCAGCTTAGCCTAATTATCAAATCTTAGGCCATGGTGAAGCACTGTCTCTAAAAAACACAGTCTCCACCTATAACAAAACAACTTATGAGGTTATCTTCTGACCTTCAGTGCATGTGTGCACCTGCACATTCAGACACGCAGTGTCTTCAGACATTGCCCATGTTCCCCTGATACAAAGCCACTCTGAGTTGAAACCCACTGTCTTGGATGGAGACCGTTGTGCTGGTTTGAAAGATAGTATCCACATAGAACACACCACATTCCCATCTCCCTATTGTGCTGTGTACCTTCTCACACTCACCATTTCTCCCCCTCTCCATAGTGCAGTGCTATCTTGAGGCTTTCCTGATTAGCTTACCATTGAAGAACTTTCTGGGGAATTCTTACTGCTTACTTCCATGCCTCTCATAGACTCTTGTTGGCTCTGTCAGCTTCTATAAGCCCACAGAAGGAAACACCAAGGTCTCCCAAGGAGCAAAAACTTCCGTGCTAGTGTGAACCCAATGGCTCTGTTTGCAAACTGATGGTGGCTACAGTGCTACCATCTTCCTCTATTCCATTATGGCCCTATGAACTTCTTCTGTTGCAGGCAAGCCTCTGTTGCTATTGTCTGGAGTTTACTGCAGAGTTCAAGCCCTTACTGTTTGCTGTTGTGTGGTACAGTTACTAAACGGGTATCCTGCCTCTCTCTGTCTAGTCAGAACACTGAACACAGCTTTATCTTTTATAGTCACAAATTGCTAGTCCATAAATATTTGTTGAGTGAATAAGTGAATGGTGAATCTGGAAGACCCATTTTATTTTCCTACCTTTAAGTCTAATGGAGTTTAAAAGGGACTATTTTTATGTATTCTATATCTACAACTTTTAAATGAGAAAATTGCATAGTTTAAAAAATGTATTACATTGTGTGTATGTGTGTGTGTATGTGTGTATGTGTGTGGTGCATATGTGGCTGTCAGAGGACACCTTATAGGTGTTGGTTCTCTCCTAACATATGGGTCCTAAGTTATGAATCCAGGTTGTCAGCCTTGGGGCAGGAGCTTTTTCACATGGAGCCATCTTGCTAGCCAGAATGTAGGGGTTTTGGATGTATCCACTCAGAGTTTGTGCTGGCATTATCATCTGGTATGTATGGGAGATGGCTCCTGTACCCCTTGCATTACCCTCGAAATCTAGCTACTGACAAGCATCTCTGTGTCTATATTGCAGCTCTTGTGGTAAGCACCACTTCAGCAGGCTTCGCACTGGCTCCAGGCCCTTTCGACTGGTCCTGCTTCCTGCTTACATCCCTTGGAACTGGTCTTGCATCCTGTGCTGCCAACTCCATCAATCAGGTCAGTTCTCCTCTGAGCCAGGTGATGCTGTTGTTACTTGCTGCTGGTTGTACCTTTGTGTTCAAAGAACTACCCAGATCCTGTGCCCTATTAGAGAAGCATCCTGAAACCACAGAGGTGGCCTATGGTGGTCTTGGTTTGGTTTGGTTTGGTTTGGTTTGGTTTGGTTTGGTTTGGTTTATTTGGTCTGGTTTGTTTGGTCTGGTCTGGTCTGGTTTGGTTTTTTTGAAACAAATGAGTGCAGAAGAGTATGTTCTTGAAATGACCAAGATTCCTTGAGTTAAAAAGTATTAAAAACTGCCAGAACTTAGTGTTCTCTTTATTTCAGAAACATTTCCTTGAATTCATCATGGTTATATGCTGTTAATGTAGCTTTATTTCTTTCTGTTTTATTTTATTTGCTTGTTTTTTTTTATTTTATTTTGTCCTATTTTTATCAAGGTCTAGCTATGTCACTGCAAGGGGATTTAAACACACTACCAGTCTCCCAGGGGCTAGCATTAGCAATATGCCACCATGTACAGCTTCTGCATTTTAAGCCACCACTATGCAAAATACAATATTTCAAATATTTCATTTTTGTTAGTTTATGTGTATGTGCATGTGGCTATGCGCATGAGAGTACAGATGTCTAGGAAGGCAGAGGTGTCACATCTCTTAGCACTAGAGTTACAGGTGGTTGTAATCTGCCTAACCTGGATGCAAGAAGATGAACTCAGTTCCTCCGGAAGAGCAACACATGCTCTTGACTTCTGAGCCGTCTCTCCAGCTCTAGGATGTTCGAAGGAACATACCCAGCTTTATGAAAAAAACAGTAGTTCAGCACTACTGTTTACTTGGTATGTACAGCCAGATTATATCATAGAATTAATAGTCAAGTATTATTTTTAATGGATCATTTTTCTTCTTGCTATTTTAAGCACCCAGAAGGTTCTCTGAAATAGTTTTTTCCTTTGCCTGGCCACTGTGGTGTGTCCCAACGTTGTGGGTTTTTTTTTTTTTTTTCCATAAGATACTCTAGTGAAGAAGTCTTGGCTAAAACTTAAGGAAAATTGCCTCATCACCAGAACACCCAGGAGCAGTTGGCACAGTTTTCCAACAGGAATCCACATTACCATCAGGAACCAGCTCAAATGTTCATAGATGCTATATAGAAGAAGCTAGTCTGTAAAATATGGGGAAGTAATCTGATTATGCTTAAAATCATCTGCCTCTAGAAAGTATTATCCACTGTTTGGAGAATGTTATTTGTTTCAAATAGGGATTCTTATTGTTGCTTTTGACACAGAGTCTCCCTGTGTATTCCTGCTAGCCTGAAACTCACTATGTAGACCAAGTGGGCCTTGCAGAGGTCTGCTTGCCTCTGCTTCCTGAGTGCTTGGACTAAAGGCATGTGACACCACACATTGGCCTGTTGTTATTTTTAACATCAAAATAATCTTATAGCAAGGCCAGCATCAGGGAGGATGATGTAGTTCTCAAAAAATGAACAGCAAACCTACAGTCTGTAGTGAGGCCGAGGCGCTTCAGCCGTTTTATGCTGACTTCCATGAAGTAGCTCCGCCTGGAGTCTGTTTCTCCGTTTGTAATCGTAACTTCCATGTATTAGGAGGTCTAAGTCAGAAGGATAAGGCAGGGTACCTTTGAGTTTCTCGCTTTCCTTTTGTAAAGTAGAAACTGCACATAGCCTTACGACTAATTGTCTTCATTTAAATTGTATAAACTCAAAGAAAATACTTTGTATAAATGTGTGAGAATTGAGGTTAAAAAAAAAAAACTAAAAAGGATCAAATGGCTTTTAGCCTTCAGAATATTATAAAATATAAAAGTTATGAGCCAATGAGATTCTGGCTGCCAATCCTGTGGTGACCTGAGTTCCATTCCCAAGACACATGTGGTGGAAGGAGGGAACTAACTTCTGTCATACTGTCATTGTTCTCTAACTCGACACAGTCACTAAAGGACACATGTACATGTGCGTACACATATGTGTGCATGCACACACATACAACACACAAATAATTAAATAGAATGTAATTTTTTGAAATGTTTCTTTGACTGGGAGCTACTTTCTCACCCACATTTCCCACTCTTACCCTCCAAAATGTTAGCTCAAGGATTTTTTTTTTTTCATGAATACAATTCTCTTAGAGGTGGGGGAAATCTCTCTTCAATTTTTTAAGTAATTTTTTCCATGTCAATATTCAATTTTATCAGAAATTTTTGTACAAACAGTTCCAGTTTTTTCATAAATTTTTTCTCTATTTTTCTTCATTTAATTACCTTCAATTTTTTAAGAATTTTTTTCATGTAAATCTTTAAAAATTTTATCAGAAACTTTTCTACTACAGTTTCAATATTTTCATAAAATTTTTTCTATCTTTGTCTTCATTTTTATCAGCAATTTTTCTATAAGTGTTTTCAATTTTGTCATAATTTTATTTCGTATATGTCTTCATTTTTATCAGTATTTTTTTTCATACATATCTTCACCTTTTTTAAACAGTAATTTTTCCAAAAAGCAATCTCCCAAATCATGTGAGAAAAAAGCCAAGTGTGGTGGTAGGCTTGGTGGCAGTGCCGTGGAGGTGGAGACATCCAGATCCCTGGAACTGGGTGGCTGGCTACCCTGGTCCCCATGGCAAGTTGCAGGCCACTGAGCAGCACCTGAGGTTGGCCTCATACTGCCATGCATGTGCATGCACACACAGGTGCACGCATAGACAAACGAGTGCACAACACGAGAAAAACATAGCCCTTTTAGTAATGGAGGGGAATGCTGTTCATTAAGGCAGAAACTGATAGGAACTGAGCCCCAGCAGAGGTGTTGGAAACTTTAAAGAACTGTCCGTTTTAGCTGCTTGGCTTCCAGCTGTATACCTGCATACTGGCCACATGGGGTGGATTAGGTTCTGTAAGATTTTAAAAGCATGGAGGAAAGCCACCATGTTGGGATTCTTTTGCTACCATCCAATTGCATTGTCGGCCCCTGTGGTGATTTTTCCTTCTCACTTTATTTTCCAGTTCTGTACCCACTTCACATCACAGTCACTGTTCCTGGGGCATTTTGTCACATTCTTTCCCATGTGTCACCAGTCCCTGCCATCCCTCTTGAGTGTTGTGAGTAGTGCTTGCTCAGTGAGCACATGCCAACAGACAGGCTTCTTGTATCTGCTGTGAGCCTTCTTCCGTTTGTCTGGGATCTAGTTGCATTTAGGAGCATTGTAGTACTCAAAAAACTTTGTGGTGATTCTCACCATACTGCATTCTAGTGTTCTGAGGATTTTACCAGCTTCCCCTGCTATAATTGTTTTTTCAGTAATGTAGTATTAGAGTCTAGTTTGCATTATTATTAGGCAGTCTCATAAACTCAAGAAACAAAGGGGTGCAGGACCCTTTCACAGCTTAAATGATATGAGGAGAGCAAAGAACAAACACAGTGGGGATTAAACTAAGATTTGTTTGTTTGTTTATATGTATGAATATTTTGTCTGCATTTATGTCTGTGCACCACATGCATGCCTAGTGCCTGTGGAGGTCAGACTTCCTGGAACTGGAGGAGATACAGATGGTTGTGAGCTATCAGGTAGATTCTGAGAACCAGAGCTGGGTCCTCTGCAGCCAGGGCGCCTGCCTGCTGACTCACCTCTCCAGCCCCTGAACAGAGTTTTGGATAACAGATAGGTAAAGATATAATTTTTTTGAAAGTTTGTATTCACATTAAAGAGTGTGTCAGCTACTCATAGGGGGTCTGTGTCATAGGGGGTCTGTGGGAGGGGAAAATCCTGTTCATACTTATAAACAAATTCAAATAACATCTTACACATAGTCTTAATTCTTATGTACTTGACTTGAGCCATGATTCATTTAGTCCTATTTCTTCTTTGCTTCTGTAATCTCTGTGTGAAAGAAAACAGTAAAGCTTTGGAAAGCAATTGTTCCATTTGTTTTAAGGAGAGAAAATGAGATTCCATTTCTGAAGGACAAGGCACTAAGCAGTACTTAGGAGCTGTGTGCGAGAAACCATGGACACTGACATGGAAAAGCAAAGCACTAGAACGTTCTGTGATGTGTATACACATGCCATTCAAAACCCAAGCATGGCTTTAAAGTGGGCATGCCTTCAAAGGATGAAAGCAGTCTGTGAGTGTTTCCAATTTAACAACTGAAAGACAGAGCGCTGTGCATGCCTTTGACTGACCAGCTCTTGACAAATGACAAACACAGGCAAGGAAATTCTTAAGAATTTAAAAAAAATAAATAAATAAAAGTTGTCAGAAAAAATTAGAATTCAATATTTAATGTGATGAACTAAAATTGGGTTTATTTTACTCATTTTATGTGTACAGTAGTCTCCTCAAGGGTTTTCCTTTCTGTGTTTCCATTAGCCACAATCAACCACTCTAAAAATTCTATAAATTAATAATTCATAAATTTTAAATAGCTTATCACATGTTGTTTTAATTTTTTGTTTTATTACTGCTGATGCTGCTCTTTTGCTTCACCTGTGTTGTAAATTAAGCTTTATCACAAGTGTGTACATGTGGGGATAAATACAGGGGTTTGTCTAATTCTTAAGCATCCGGTAAGAGTCTCAGAGTATGGTCCCTGCAGATAAAGGAGGGCTACCGTACATGGCTTTTTAGGAGAGGTTGTGCTGATGAATGAGTTTATTCCTATATGTAGTTTACTAGCGATGACCTGGCATTCCACTTCATGCCTCAGCTTCTGCAGCTCTCAGTGAACTGTAGAGCTTTGGTTGTGTGTTGTGTTATATCTGTTCACAATGTTCCTGGAAGACTGTCTTTTGCTAATTGGTTCCCATGGCTTTCTAGGTGGTCAGCTATGAAGAACGAAACTCTCTTCCTCATGTTGAACCCTAAGCTGCTACCTTACAACGTCAGCCTGTTGGTCATAGTTCTCTATGTTGGAGAATATTCTCTCTGCATCCATGTGATAGTACTTGCAGCATATCACTTGTAACTGTGGTTACTAGGCAC